TAATTACCTAAGTGTAGTTACAGGATGAGAGCTAAGCTCGTGGTGTCCCGTCTTCCCAACACTTTTTGTCATATAACGCTTTGAAACTACTGACGGTCTTGGCCTCTACCACCTTCTCACTTAACTTGTTCCAACCGTCTACCACTCTATTTGCGAAGGTGAATTTTCTTATATTTCTTCGGCATCTGTGTTTAGCTAGTTTAAATCTATGACCTCTTGTTCTTGAAATGCCAGGTCTCCGGAAATCTTCCCTGTCGATTTTATCAATTCCTGTTACTATTTTGTATGTAGTGATCATATCACCTCTTTTTTCTTCTGTCTTCTAGTTTTGGCATGTTTAATGCTTCTAACCTCTCCTCGTAGCTCTTACCCTTCAGTTCTGGGAGCCACTTAGTAGCATGTCTTTGCACCTTTTCCAGTTTGTTGATGTGCTTCTTAAGATATGGGCACCACACAACAGCTGCATATTCTAGCTTTGGCCTAACAAAAGTCATGAACAATTTCTTTAGTATATCGCCATCCATGTAATTAAATGCAATTCTGAAGTTAGAAAGCATAGCATAGGCTCCTTGCACAATATTCTTTATGTGGTCCTCAGGTGATAGTTTTCTATCTAGAACCACCCCTAGATCTCTTTCTTTATCAGAATTCTTTAAAGATTTCTCACATAATATATAGGTTGTGTGGGGTCTATGTTCTCCTATTCCACATTCCATAACATGACATTTATTAACATTAAATTCCATTTGCCAAGTGGTGCTCCATATACTTATTTTGTCCAGGTCTTCTTGAAGGGCATGACAATCATCTAAATTTCTTATCCTTCCTATTATCTTAGCATCATCAGCAAACATGTTCATATAATTCTGTATACCAACTGGTAGATCATTTATGTACACAATAAACATCACTGGTGCAAGAACTGAACCCTGTGGTACTCCACTTGTGACATTTCTCCATTCCGATACATTGCCTCTGATTACTGCCCTCATTTTTCTATCAGTCAGAAAATTTTTCATCCATGATAGAAGCTTACCTGTCACCCCTCCAATTTTTTCCAGTTTCCAGAACAACCTCTTATGTGGAACTCTGTCGAAAGCCTTTTTTAGGTCCAGATAGATGCAGTCAACCCAACCATCTCTTTCCTGTAATATCTCTGTGGCTCGATCATAGAAACTGAGTAAATTCGATACACAGGATCTTCCAGATCGAAAACCATACTGTCTGTCTGATATTATATCATTTCTCTCCAGGTGTTTTACCCATTTAGTTTTGATTAGCTTTTCCAATACTTTCACTATTACACTTGTCAATGATACAGGTCTATAATTGAGGGGGTCTTCCCTGCTGCCACTTTTGTAGATTGGAACTATGTTAGCCTGTTTCCACACGTCTGCTACGATTCCTGTACACAGGGATGCTTGAAAGATCAGGTGAAGTGGAATGCTGAGCTCAGATGCACATTCTCTCAGAACCCATGGTGAAACGCCATCTGGGCCAGCTGCTTTGTTCTTACCGAGCTCCTTGAGCATTTTTTCCACTTCGTCTCTAGACACCTCTATGTGTTCTATGTTGTTCTCTGGAATTCTTATTGTATCTGGTTCCCTAAAGATTTCATTTTGTACAAACACACTTTGGAACTTTTCGTTTAGTGTTTCACACATTTCCTTTTCATCTTCCGTGAATCTATTTCCCATTTTCAACCTCTGAATATTATCCTTTACCTGCAATTTGTTGTTTATGAATTTATAGAATAGACCTGGTTCTGTTTTACATTTGTCCGCAATCCCTTTTTCAAAATTTCTTTCTGCCTCTCTCCTCACTGCCGTGTAGTTGTTTCTCGCATCTTTGTATCGCTGGTGTATAGGTTCCTGTGCCTATTGGGCTCTATCATGTCTACATGTGACATTGTATGGGGGTCAGCCTCGTTACTTGTGTGTGGAGTCACCACATTACTTCCTAGTGCTTTCCCGTTACCATTCTGACACTAAAAAAAAAAAAAAAAAAAATCTATCTCTGGCTCTTTTGGGTACTCAGTTTCCACCTGTGTCCCTAGTGCGTATGCCCCTTGTGTTACATAGCCTGCTCTTATCAACCCTGTCGATTCCCTTGGGTATCTTGAATGTGGTGATCAGGTCTCCCCTCACTCTTCGTCTTCCAGCGAAGTGTGGTTTAATTCCCGTAGTCTCTCCTCATGACTTAGGTAGTGTACTTTTTCTTTCGGAACGGGTTCTGTTCCCTTCTCTGTTGACTGGGCGCTGGGGGAGCAGCTTGCTCTGTTGCCTCTCGCATGGTCCCACTGTTGGTGGGCGCTTTGGGTTGTCTTCCGGCCTCTGCTGGCATCGGAGGACGGCCTCTTTCCCTTGGGGGGGTTCAGAGCTGGCGGGGTGGGCTTCTTCCCCTGCGCTTCGTCATTTCCTCTTCGTGGGTGCGTGGGGCGTGGTCGATCCGCCCCATCCTTCTGGGGTTCCCGTCTGCTCTTTGCAGTCATGAGCTTTTCCCGTCTGCGGTTCTTCTGGACTTCTTCAATCTGCGCCCTGGATCCTATGCCCTCCTCGGAGGACTGTTGTCTTCTATTCGGATTCTGTTGGGGCCGGGTGCATGGATGGTGGCCCTGGACCTCCAGGTCACTTCTTGGCCGTTCCTCTCCCGTTTTTCTGGGACTAGCACGGTTGGTGGTGGGGCTTCAGGTTTGCTGTTTTTCTTGCCTTCCCTATTTTGTAATGGGCACTTCATATACTTTTTGCATCTTTACGGGATCTTAGTGCCCTGTCTGAGTCTGAGATTCGGTGTTTGGCCTACCTCGACGACTGGCTGGTGTGGGCTCCCAGTCAGTCCGCTTGTCTGCTCGCCAGGGGATGGTTCTTTCCAGATCGCCGGGTTTGGTTTCCTGGTGATCTGGAGGTTTTTCCATCTGTTTCTGTCCCGGGTTCGGACCTGGGCCTTGTTTAAGGCTCTTGGGCCCCTCATTGTCTTCCCTCCAGAGGTGTTACTGCGGCTGTGGTCCCGCCTTCTGCTGTTCAGGAGGGGGTCCCGGGTTGCTCAGCGGTTGCTTGAGCGGTTGTGCGGGAGTCTGCACTTCGGCATGCTTGTCTGCCCGCGGAGTCGGGTTTGGCTACGGCGTCTGTTGGTTCCTGCGGAGGCTTCCCTTCCGCCTCTTGCATTCATTGGGTTCCTCCGGGGATCTTGTGTTGGTGCTGCAACACCAGCTTCCTCTTTGGGGTTTTCGGGGTTCCGTGCCTTGGCACCTCCTCGAGCCTTCGCTCGATGTGTTCACGAATGGGTCGTCTCTCGGCTGGGGCTTTGTGACCAGTGCTCACCAGGTCGGCCGAGGTTGATGGAGTCTGTCTGTCCGTCGGGCTCACAGCACGGTTCGGGTGTTCATGGCTGTCTGGTTTGCGCTTCGGAGGGTTTGGGTCACTAGGTACTCTACCAATCAGCTCTGTTCGGACTGTTCTCTGGTGGTTCTTACCGGAACCACAGGGGTTTGGCTAACCGTGAGGTTCGTGTCCGGGGTGTGTCCTGCGTCCTGGCGGACAGCTGTCTCGGTTCATTCCTCTTCGTGGGTTGGCCAGTCGGCGCCGATTCGTTTTGTTGGCTCTGTCAGGCGTATGGACTCCTGGCCATGGACGTTTTCGGGTCAGCGTGGTCTAGGCGTCGCCCATTTTGTGGCGCCCTTTCCCACCTGCGAGGACTTCACGGTGGATGCTTTCGGCAGGACTGGTCGAGATGGGGGGTACCTGTTCCTCTTCTCCCGGTCCAGCTGTTGCTTCGGATTCTGGCTCGGTTGCAGCCCATTCCCACGAGAACAGTCCTTATGGTTCCATGGTGGCCGGCCCGGCCTTCTTTTCAGGCGCTGCTTGATAGGTGTCCATACCCGGGGCGTTTTTCCTGAGGCTCCGCCTCTTTCAGCAGGCCGAATCGGTCCTGTCCGTGACTGGTTCGGCCTTCTCCTTGGCTCTTCGCGTCTGGTATTTTGACACGGGTATCACCATCTCTATGGTGTTCAGGTGGCTTTGTTGACGGTGTCCCACCTGCGAGCTTCGTCTTGGCGACAGTATGACGTTTCATACGTTTTCTCGTGTTTTGTTTCCCCTCCGGCCTGCTCATGCGTCGCCTGAGCCATCATGGTCCTTGTTCAGGGTGCCTTCTTATCTTCCCCTCAGTTTGTGGTAGCCCCTTCGGTTCAGTTTCCTGCTCTTTGGTACTGGTGGTAGCTTTATAGGTGTGCAGCCTTTCTCTGTCCTGGCGACGGTCGAGACGGCTGTTTTCCGGAGGGGTTCTTGGGGTATTGGTACTTGATTGGTTTGGCCGGGGGGTGCGTCCTGTGTTGTCCAGTTGTGCTTTTTGCTGTTGCCGGCGTACCGTATCTGGGGATGCGCTGTGGTTGATCCGGTTCCTTCATTCCCTGTTTTCAGGGCTCGGGTCTCCCAGGTCGTCAGCAGTGTTTTCATTCTTCCAGCCTGCGGTCTGTCTTTGCGCCCGTGCTGTTCAGTCGTTTGCAGCTTTTGCTGCTGTGTTGGTGACGTCTCGGGCTCATTTCGGGCGCAGGGATTTGTGGGTCCCACAGGTTCTTGGCCGCCCTTCCTTATGCGCGTCTGCTCTTGGGCATTCTTGTTGCCTTGGGTCGCAGGTTTGCGACCGGTTGTCTTGGCTTTGCGTTGCTGAGTTTGTGGCGGCCGACTCCCGGGTTAGCCCTTTCTTTTCCTTCTCTTTGGGTATGAAGCTCCAGGGAGCCGTAGGGGCTCCCCACAGAAAACCAGCGTTGAATGTAATGAAACACCATTTTCTGGGTGCAACCCATGTGTAAATTGGGGATCACCTATGTCCTTAACAGATTATTTACTATTATAAATTATAGATTATATCAGATACAGTATTCATTTATATTTTGACAAATGAAAATGACAAATATGTATTTACTATCATATTATATTGCAGGGATATTGAGAAAAATATGTTTTCACTTTGTTGGAATCTTAACTTGAAATATTTTGCAGGAGTGAGAGCAACCATCGTCCAAGTGAGATGCACAGACAGCACTTGGTGACTTCAGACTGGATTTATGCATGCATTGAGAAAGGCAAGCTAGAGGAGGAAAGATACTTCATGCCTAAGATGGTTGAACTCTAATCTTACATGCATTTTTAAGAGGAATTTTATTCTTTTAAAATTATATAATGATTCTTCAATATGTATTGTTAGAGTTTACAAGCATTTGTTATTTTGATTTCATATGCATTATTATACACAAATTTTGCTGGCAGATATATAAAACAGTTAAGAAGGAAAATCCCTCAGATTGAACATTGCTAATGTAAGGTACGGGATTGAAAGCCGTACCCTAGAGTATCGCTAACAACACCCGCTCTTACTGTCTTATAAATAATGGGAGTGCAGGTGTCTATATAGCAATAATAAACAGTTCTAACTACATGGGACTAGAAATACACCTTGAAGGTACAATTTTACAAAAGGTTTTGTATTTAACAATACCAGATTATCTCACTCTGATTAGAACAGGAAAGGGGGGGAGGAGAGTACTTTGACCCACCCCAGGATTGATACAAACAAAGGGGGGAGGAGGTTCCTTCCCACCAACACACACCTCAGGAGACACTGGTACAAGGGTCCACACACAACAGTTTAGGCCTCTACAAACTGGGACTTAAGGTCATTACTGTATTCCACTCCTCTTGGGTTACTACAAAGGGCATATGGGTTTTAACACAACACTGTTCTGACCACAATACACAAAGGTATGTACAAAGTACATGTGGATAACACCACGTGACACAGAGCTGAGCACATGCACATGATATAATAACCCCTCTTGTTCTAAATGTCATAGTGCATACTGAACTAAATAAAGTCCATCTTTGGCTAACTGCCAACAAACTCACCCTTAACATTGACAAAACTTTCAATATTTTGCTTGGCAATAAATCCTCATATCAAAATAATGTCAGGATAAACAATGTCCAAATTAGTAACAAAGTAGATGGCAAATTCCTTGGTGTTCTCATAAATAACAAGATGAATTTCCTGGTATACATTCTATATATATCAAAAAAAGTTTCTAAAACTGTTGGCATTCTTTCTAAGATTAGATATTTTGTACCTCGCCCTGCCCTGGTGACACACTATTACTCTTTCATCTATCCTTATTGCAATTATGGTATTTGTGCTTGGGGGTCTAGTACACAAAATCATTTACGTCCTCTAATTATTCAACACAAACCTGCTATTAGAACAATATCTAACTCTGGCCCCAGACAGCACTCGGTACCCTTACTCAAATCTTTGAATACGTTAGATATTAAGTCACTGCACATCCTTTCATATGTACTCTATATATTTAAAACTCTGAACTGCAATGTCAATCCTGACCTTAGAAGCTTCCTAGAAGGTTTTAACAAAACTCATGGGCATCCACCAGAAACAAATACCTATTTGATATGCCAAGAGTGCAACTTAACCAAACTAGAAATGCTCTACAAATCAAGGGACCCAGAATGTGGAATGACCTCCCCAATCATGTCAAAGGCTGTACCTCTCTCAACCAGTTAATGAGTTTAAGAGTAAAACCAAGTACTACCTAATTAACTCCATGTAACCTTCCTTACCCTCTAAATGTCAATCCATGTCTTGCTATTTTTAAACAATGCTGTTTGTTCACCAACTTGTACAATTGCTGATTTCTGCCATGTTTCTCACCCCCTTTTTATTTTTAATTTCTTTTCAACACAATTTATACCTAATCCCAATTACTATTAAGTTTTAGTCTAAGTGTTTTTCTGGGGGGAGCCCCTTCGGCTCCCGGAGCTGATATGCTAATGTCAGACTTTGGCATCAGTCATGTGTATGGAGTTCTGTGGGCCTACCGGGGACCACGAGCCAGAACCTGACCCCCCCTCAGAGAGGCATGAGGAGCAATGGTCTATAGAAACCCCTGTGTGGTTGGAAGCATTTTATGTCTGCCATCGACCGGGTCAGGCACCCAGAAAGGTAGACATCCCAAAACAAACTCCTATTCTGGTGAAATTATCACTACCAAAAGCCAAACATGTGGATAGAACTCCCCTAAAAGAAACAAACAAACGATCATGACATCACAGGTCACCGTGCCGCTGTCTGTGCAGTTCCCCCCTTCCCGGGAGGGGGAAGGGAGAGCCCCAGACCCCTCACGCTGGCTTTCAACCCGTCAGTTCTAAGGCTGATTCTAAAGGTTGAGGTTGTGTGCTCTGGCTCCGGTGGTTGTTTCAGCACTGTACCTAGTGTGTGGTGACTGTCTTCTAGGTGGTGCGTGAGTCGGGAGTGATTCTCCAGTACTCGGGCTGCATGCGCCTAAGGTTTCCTTCCCTAAGTACCCAGTAAGTACAGTCCTTGGGGCCACCTTCCACAAGTTCCTTGGGTTCTGCCCTTGCTAGGCCGTTTACTGCTTGGTTTTCGGCCGCCCTTTGTGTGCTAGGGTGTTCTGTCTTCCTTGTTTGCCTTGGGGTAGGGGGTAAGTTGGCACTGGTAAGAGCGCAGGGTACTGTGCAGCTTGTTTTCATCAATCATAGTGGCCGGCTCTGTTCCGCCTGGGTACGTTGTCCTCTTGCAGGGTTTTCTTTTCTTTTGGTTTGTCTGCCTGGTGGGGGGGGGGTCTGCCTTGGTTCTTTACCCCTGTGTACTGGGTACTCTTCCTTCTTCTGGTGGTTCACCCTGCTAGGTCCCCGTGAGTATACACGTCCCGGGGGTTCAGTTCTTAGAATGTTGTTTGGTATTTGTGGGTGCCAGTTAGCAGCACCCTGCCTGGGATTACCTGGGCGTGAGTCCCTGTAGGTAAACGTTCAGGACCCTGGGAAACCCCTAGGGGGCGCGTGGGTCCGATGGATGTGGCCCCAGAGTCCCCCCTCGCTTTGTGAGAGTTCGAGGGTTGCTCTGTCCCCTTGTCTCAGTGTGACTTTTTGTTTTGCCTCCGTCTGCTGCCTGTGGGGTCGGTGGCACCTTTGGCCCAGAGCCCTGCGAGTTTTGTTGCTTGTTTGTGGCTCGATTACCCAGTCTTATGTTGACTATGTGGGTGCAGTCAGCACGGGCATTGGATGTTTCAGTGGTGCAACACGCTAGGTCGTTTGCTCCCTGGGAGTCCTGGGGCTTCCCCGTTTTGGTTGGTGTGACGGGGCTTGGGGGGTGCTGGACGCTTCAGTTTTGTTCCTTCGCGCCCCCTTGTCTTCCCCTGTTATGGTCCCCTCCCTTTCCTTCCTCCCTGCATTCGGAGCCTTACCGTTTGTGGGTTTTGGGTCGGGGTGGGACTTCGCTGGTCTTGAGACTCGGGTGGTCTCGGGGATTTCCCCGAGACCGCTTCCGGGGTAGCGACGGGGGCATTCGAGCCTGGTCCTCCAGCCATATTGTATGAGTCTGCCAGTGGGCTCCCTTCCTTAGTATTTGTCCAGTTGCCTGGGCTTTTTCTTGTGAGGCTGGGGCTTTGGGGGGAACGGCTCAGCCCCGGGACCTGCCTTGTGGATTCCCGGGGCTGGGGAGGGGCTGACGTTTGGACCCCTCCTGGGTTTTTCTATCCTTTGGGCAGGGCTTATGGTTGCAAGGAGTGGAATTTTTTCTTCTCCCCCCCCCCCTCTCTCCATACATGTTTTTATAAGTTGCCCCCTTCCCGGGATCAGTTCCTCGTCCCTTGGATCCGTCGGGTCAGTCCTGTTGGTGGGTACGTTTCTCCACCCTTCATCTTGGGATGGGCCTTCACAGTCATGTTTCCCTTTTCTCTGGGTTCTGCATGACTTTTGGTCTCGGGTACGACTTTACCTTCCGTGCCTTCGTGCTTCACGTTTGCTTCCATGTTCTGGAAGGATCTGGAAGGTTTTGTTTCTTCCCATATTCTTGCAATATCTGTCGTCTTCGGGTACTTTCTGGTGCATGCTGGTCCTTCTTCAAGCTTTTTGTTTTTTGGTCCTGTTTCGTTCTTTCGTGTTTGTCTCTTTCTCTCCATGCAGTGAGTGCATTGTCCTGCACTGCACAGGGTGGCCAGATTGGGCTCTTGTAGTTCGGTTGGGCTCTTTGTAGCCCAAATGGGAAGCTGTGCTATGTTTCTTTTCTCTCCTTCCTGCTCTTTTCGACTACGGTTGGCGGCTGCCCTGTGTACTCTCATATGGGATTCGGTCATTAACAACACTGTTTTGTCTCTTTTCTAGTCACATTCATGGTTTCTTTCTTCAGTTCGCGACTTCTGGCGATCCATGTCTGGCATCCCTGCTGTGCATCCGCCGTGGTTGTTTGTTTTGATACAGGCGGTGTGCACGTGTGCTGGTGTTTTGTGTCCCTTTTCTCTCGGGTGCTTCACCTCTCGCTCTTCTCCATTCTCCAGTCCATGCCTGGTAGCTCCTGGGAGTGTTTAGGATTGCTGCTTTGGGGCAGATGCAGGGCTTTCCCTGTGTATGGGTGTGGGGCTCCTCTGTCGCCTCTACCCTCTTCTCCTGCATGTGTGGCTCTGCCTTCTTCCACTGGCAGTGCTTCCGGAATCTTCTCGGCTACGTTGTGTCATGACACATCCGTGCCTACGTTCTGCAGGTGAGTTTATGCGGTCTGGCTTCTCTTCGGTCAGGCACTGGTTAGTGATTTTTGGATATGAATATACGAACATCGGAACATAGGTGACTGCAGCAGGCTTAATGGGCCATGCAAGGCAGCTCCTATTTATACCCATCCTGTCCCACTCTTATGCATGTCCAGCCCATGCTTAAGTCCAGATAGAGGCCCTACCTCCACTAGGTTATGAGGTACAATGGTAGGGGTATATGTTATGGGGTAAGTGTTCCTGTCTGGATGTGCTGAGGTGACATTTTGCAGCAGTTTTCATGCTGTAGATGTGTGTTGAGGATTGGTTGTGGATTTTTGTTTGGCCCTTCCGTGCTTCTTCCTGAGGCTTTACATGTTCAGCTGAGTTCATGATTGCAAAGGGGGTCATGGCCCCATTTTTCATGGTCTTATCTGGGGTCACTCTTTGTACATCTTGCAGTGCCTGGCTTAGACCTTCCATATATATTGGATTCTCTGTACAGTACTTACCTAGTTGTACTTCCCTAGTTGTGTTGCAGGAGTTGGGCTCTGGCTTTTTGGTCCCGCTTCTTACCTGTCGTTCGCTCATGTGCAGCTTCCTGGGCCTGCTGGACTCTTATCATATCTGCGCTTGAAGCTGTGTGTGGTGTCATCCTCTTCCACATCGCTTCCTCATGCGTTCTGCTTGTCTCCTACTCTGACACTGCAACACTTCTTTCCCATGTCTCTTTGGCTCATTTGGGCTCTCATTCCACCAGTGTCCCCTGGTGTGTGTGCCCCTGGGGTCCTGTAGTCGTTTTTTTTCTACCTTATCGCTTCCTTTGGGATTCTTCGATGTGGTGATCATGTCCTCGTAGCTCGTACTCCTTGGTTTAGGTACTGGTCTCTTGGCGTACCTTTGTACCTTTTTCCTTTTCGTCTTATGTTGGGATGTGTCACTCGCCTGTGTTGTTGGCGTGGCTTGTTGGGACATGACTAGCGGCTCTGTGTTGTTGGTCGTGTCCCTTTCATTCCCTTTTTGCTTCTTGCCTTCTTCGTTCTTCATCTT